TGAAGAACTACGGTTTTGTCAGGCTGGAAGACTTTTGCTGAGTACTATTATGGTGGAGGAACTGACAGCTGTTAAGCATCGCCGACGCAACTGTTGACTTTTGTTAGGAAGAAAAGATTGTTTTATTTTGGATAGTAATGATTCATAAATGGGCAAAAGGTTTTTGTTGGGCTACAAATCTCAAGTAATTATAATTTTTAGTATTGAGTAAATATTGTTTTGGGTAACGGTGTACCACATTTTGCTCCAAGTTTTGTAGAGGAAACTTTTTGGAATTAAGAAAAGCCCAGTCGTATTTTTTCCTCACTGGAGTCAACAGTTGAAATTTACACTTTTTAATTTTAGTCTTTTCTGCTCTCAAAAATTTGATTTTCAGGTTCGGAGAAATAGTGAATGTCAATCTCGTGCGAGATCGAAAAAGTGGGAAGTCGCGTGGATTTTGCTTTATTTGTTATGAGGATCAGAGATCAACAATTTTAGCTGTTGATAATTTTAATGGCATCAAAGTTAATAGTCCTTTACTACAGTAATACCGTGTTTATTGGGTGTTTTGATTTTCTATCGTTGATGATTTCGCAAATATTTGTTTTTTGAAAGTAAATTAGGTTAGATGTCTAAAAAAAGAATTAGTTTTTGTGTCATTCTCACCGCCGACTCTTCATTCACTAATTACTTTAGCTTTTAAAAAGGACTATACGGGTAGACCATGTGGAAGAGTATAAAATCCCACAATACAAAGAACAGTTAGATGCGGAGACACTCCGGATTTGGGAAGAAGGCTGCGCTCCAAAACCGATAAAAGCCCTTCTCAAAGGTTAACAGTTTTTTCAATCTAATCATTTCTGGTTATTTTCAATTGGTCATCGACGTTTCCACAGTACACGCTAATCATCCCGTTTAGAAGAAGATTCAGAAGAAGATGATCCAGTTGCTAAACAAAAAGCACGAGGCAAATTTGATGAAGTAAGTGACCGCTCTTGTTCTTGTGCTTATTGAATTTTTTCGTAATAATGTTTTTTTCTAGCACATTGTTTTATCTTTATTTTGATTTAGGAGAGAGTATTTATTATGTGTTTTCGCTTTTAAAGGCTGTGGTTGCAGGAGGGTCTACTACAACTGGATGCTGATTTGGAGAAAAAAATGAGGAAGGATTTGAAGAGGGCAATGAAAGAAAAGAAGAAGCTGAAAAGAGCAAAGAAGTTGGCAAAAAGTGCTGGCGAGGAAGTTGAAGATGATGCGAATGAAGATTCATGGAAATCAAAGGGGAAGTTGATCGATAGTGCTGCGGTGGACGTATGTTTCCCTGTTTTCACTGCTAATTTTTTGTCTCTTCATTTCCTTTCGGCTTTCTTCGTTCGTACAGTAGTGACTGATATTTGACAAAACTTCTAAGTGGAGGCTACTTTTCAAAAATTTTAGCTTTAATAATTTTATTTCTAATTTGAAAATGAATTAGTAAGCATTAATATTATTTTGATTTGATTGGCCGGATATGAATTTTTATTTATTTCGTTATCATCAAATCTGTTGATTACAGGTCGATAGCCTTTACAATACGAATGAGCATTTCAACTTTGGTAAACCTAAACAGGAGATACCTCCTCCACCAACTCATAACTTGAGGCCCGATTTTGAGAAGGCAGATTGGCGTGAAATTGAAATTTACAAAACTGTCAAGGAGAAGGAACGGCTTGAGAAAGGCGAGAAGCAGAGTAACTGGAAGGAGGAAGAACATTATCTTCCAAAAAGGTTTCATAAAGACGAGTGAATTTGAGACACTGTTTTGATCTTGCTGTTTTCTGTTTTATCTTCATTCTGCTGTCTTCGAAGGAGTCAAGGAAATATCCGTTGATCTTTTTAAAAATTTGGTACAACCAAAATAAGAAGGGTAGCAGTTATATCAAAGCAGGCTGTTACAGATTCGTTCATCTTTATGGGACTTTGGCAGATTATGTTCTTTCTCTTTTCATTTGCCTAGCTCTTCTCCTTCTTTCATCTCTCGTTAACAGGGATTTCTTTACATGTGTACACTTATTTCGTTCTATTTGTCAGTTATCTCCTTGAAGCGCTTTTGGCACTGGGTTTTACGGTGTACTGATTTGTTGTACAATTTGCTGTTATTAAGAAAAGATCTCCTAGTTGATTATTACTTTTCCTCTTCCTAGTTTTGTTTCATTTGCACAGTCACTATTATATCCAGTCATTGTAAATGTATAAATGTAAGTGAAGACTTGGTAGGATTTTGATGAAATGGCTATGGGAAAGGAAGCATTTAAGTGTGTTTTGATTTAACGATTAACGTATATATA